TTATTAACCGATGTCTTAAGAACACTGATTAAGAAATCAAAAGCAATAACTTTTTATTATAAATTACGTTAAAACTGCATTGAAAATCCTGGAAGAAGTACATTAATAACAGCTTTGAATAAAAACTTTTCATTTTTAATTTCTTAATGGGTGCTCTAAAGTTTTTGCCTTCCAAATTTGCCAATGTAATGGCATCAAGAGACTGAAGAATGGCCCAAAACAAGCATTGAAATAGAAGTGCAGAGATCAGTCATCAGTGTGTACGCTCAAGTTTGTAGACACATTAAGAGCTAATCTCAAAATATAATTACCAAGATAAAGGACATGGATTCTAAAAGGTTACCTGTAGAATCTGCAGAAACGTTATCAGAGGAGCGATCTATATCAGCCATTGCAATAGCAAGTTCAAAAGAGTTTTGAATGTTTCAGTCTTTATATTGAAGATGTGTGTGCAATAGAATAATGCAATGATTGATGAGTATTAATAGGAGCAAGTCAATTTCTTGGACAGTGGAAGCCAAAATTTGAAGAATGGGGAGTGAAAACGAATTTGAAACAAGACTGGTAGTTGAACACATGCTATTTCAGTCTAACTTGTTTGGTAGCTGAGCATTTTCGTGTTAGTTGGAGTTGAGTTTTGTAGATGACAAATCCTATGTCAGTGTTAGATGCACTCAAATATCTATAAAAATAAAAAGTAAAATGATGTAACAAAGGTTGGTATTGTGTTGATTATTACTCTTATCAAGGGTTGTGCTTTCTGCACATTCAGATATATTTTGGACTTAATCAAGTTTAACAAAATAGTTTGGAAGGATTGCTTCAAATTAAACAAAAATAATCTCATTAAAGATGGTTAGAAGAAGTCAAGAAGAGTATAAAGAGTGAGGTTGACTAGTAAAATAAGTACGATTAAATAAAAATTTAATTTTTTTTTTCACTTAAAATTTGGTAATACTCTTCGCAGTACAAGAAAAATTAGGTAGAAAAAGAAAAATACAGAAATATGAAATCAGATGAGTGATGTAACCGAAAATGAGAGAAAAAAATATATGAATTTAGTTATACATTTTAAAATGTAGAAGTTTTTTTACACTGTCATCTAGGAATGTATTGTCACATTAATTAAAATTATTGACTTTTAAAACATTTCACTTAAAATTCTAATAAAAATATTATATTATTAGTTAATAAAAAAATACATCAATAATGAAGCAAAATTGAAAAAATTTAAAATATATGTTAGAAAAAATTAAAATAAGAATTGCACAAGTCTAATACAGATGTAATGAACTAAGGACATATAACAAAATTTAATAATTAAGATCGTAATAGATTCCATACAGATATAACAAAATTAAGTGTTTCCATTTCATACTCTATTGTTGAAATACTTTATTTTGAAAGAGTGAAAATCTAATAAATTTAATGAAGTTTTTATTTTGTTTTTGGTTAAAGGATTAAAAGTAGTTTATTCTCTTAAAATTTTATGCAGATTGTCACAAAATCAAGAATATATAATAAAAGAAATAATTTTGAAGTTTAAATTTTAAATATATAATTATATAGCAAATACAAACAGGTTTATCTCTCATAAAATATTGGTAGTCTAAAATAATAATAAAAATGATTATGGGAAGTAGCTGTTGATGGGGTGGTAGCTGGTATACACAGAATGCCAAAATACAATAAAGAAAAGGACCTCGCAAAACACACTTTACGTAAAAATATAATTCACACCAAAAGGGAAATTAATAATACACTAAACATGCATCTAGAATCTCATGCAAGACCATGACTTTCATTTGAGTATTCTTTGACAATGTCACGTTAATTTTATTGATTTCATTTGAAGAATTTGTCTTATTAGATTCAACATTATAGACAACACCTTTATTATCGTTAGACCCTCTTGAGAGTTTTTATTCAAATTTTGATGACTCTAAAATCACTTTTATATGCTTTTGTTGAATGTTGACCAAGAGTAGGAGCTTGGTATAATTAGAAATGACTTTGCGTTTACTTGAACATCTTTCACACCTTTATCATCCACTTGATTTATCATTGTACAATCAAACAAAGACATGTTTTGTTTTGTTTTGATTTGTTTTCTAATGCAATTGCACCAAAGATGGTGAGTCATCAATTATTTTTCAAAAGGGATAAGAACGCCATGACAGAGACACTACCATTTCCAAAGTTCTTACAAGTTACAATCAATCACCCCTCTTATCTCTTATTTTATTTTTCTTTAAGCAAATATTTTATTAATTGGATGGTAGTGATCCTTGAGCGTCTAGAAGAAACTCATTCTTTAGTGTGTTTAGCAAAATCAAAAGATCAATTTGTTGAAATTAATTCATTGTTGAAACTAGTTGATGAATATAAAATAATTGACAAAAATGTAACTAATTATTTAACTTTAAATTTAATAATTATAGACTTTTATATTTTAATTTATTTTAAATGATTTTATCTTAAGATATTTATTTTATTATCATTAACAGATTGTTTTATTAAATTAAATAATACAAATAAATTTGTATTATTATTTTGACAACTTTATATCATTAAAAAACAGATTTAATCATTTTATTAATTTCTTTTCAAGAAAGGTGTAGTCTATCTATTATTTTCAGAAGTAACAAATATTGTCACATTAATTTATTTATTTTCTATTTTTAATGTGTTCTTTTAAATAAAGATATTCAAATTAATTTTAGTTCATTAAAAAATTTATTTAGGATAAATAACATATTATGAAAAAAATATGAAGAATAAAAATATAAATAACATTCTCAGTTCGAAGTTAAAAAGAGTAAATGCTACTTTAAGTAAAATGTTAATAATGATTAATTTTAGTTATTTTATCAAATAGAATTATTTTAATTCAATAAATATTCAATATATAGTTTTTATAAGTATCGGGTGAATTATCAAATAATGATTGACGATTAATTAGAATTACTTCACTACATCACGTTAAGATTGAAAATTATAAAAGTAAATCAATTAACCTTTTTTTATAAAAATATAGTCTTGACTAAATAAAATGTTTTAAAAATCTATTATAAGTTCATAGCATCTCACTTTATTTAACTAGTTTTAAAATTTATATATAGAAAGACTTGACGTAAAAATAAACCTCCATTGCAATCCATTTTTTAAGAGCTCCATGTCAAGAATTCTTGCTTCTAATTCAACGTGCATTGAGGGTTCCACTACTACAAATGTAAAGTTCATTCGTCTCCTGAACTATATTAACTAATATAGTAATGAATATGTAACCAGGTTTTGTTATATTAATATTTTTTATTAATATCAATTATGATATATTTATTATATTTATATAAGATCAATTAATAAATATATTATTATTATTATTATTATTATTATTAAACTTTAATAAAAATAGTTTGTGATAAGCTAAACTATTTAATTTTTGTACTTGAGAGAGGTATTCAGTATCATTCATTGAGTTAAATAATTTTCGTCTTCCAAATAAACAGGGTAAGTTTTCTCTTTTGACTCATTGGACATTTAAAAGCAATTATTCATTCTCTCTAACTTTATTTCTTATAAATCAAATGAATTATGAAATTAATATTTTAAATAATTAAATAATCCAAAGAGTTTCTCATTGTAAGTATTAGACCAATGACAACGATGTTCGTTTGATGGCATAGAGCTTCTGGAAGAGTTTGCCGCAAATAATATCTTATTAAGTGATGGCTCATCACGAACCAATGCCTTTCACATCAATGCAATAAAATTAAAATTAGATAGATATAGATATTGTGCATCTATATACACATCATAAGATGTAAAAAATATAAAATATTAAAGATGTGATTATTTGTTATATAATATTTAATAAAATATAGTTAACACTTAAATAATATTACTTAAACGCACAATTAAAAAAATTTGATAGTCATGGAATGCAATGACCCTACCTGGAACTTTCCTACACAATCCACTAATAGAAAACAAGGATCATCTAATAATTTTTAATTAAATTTTGAAATAAATTTTACAGTTTTACTAATATCGGTCTTAAAATATTACAAGCAAGAAAAATTTATTAAATATTACGGTGAATACTAAATTGTGTCCTAATTTCTTATTTTATTTTAAAATTAGAAGTCAATTTGAGTTAGTTCAAAAAAATTAAATACAAATAAAAAATAAAAATTATGATTGATAAAACAAATTTTTGTTATATTGTTTGTTTAATTTTTAAAATTATAATATTTTTAAAGTTTTTTATTTCATAATAAAATATAACTTTATTTCTTAAGATTTTAAATAGATTTTATCATAATTTTTTATTTAAATTTATTTACTTATTTATTTATTTTTTATTTAAAAAAAAACAAAACAAAAACATGCAAAATGATCACACTTATTAGTTTTAAACTATACTGCAGAAGGAACAAATACAATTACGAGAACAGAAAAAGAAACTAGATTAAGAATACATGTGAGGATAAAAAAAGTTCAAAATTTTTCTAATCAATCGTCATTAATTATATAGCATATACTTTAAAAATAAATAAAAATATTTTAATTATATTCTTATAATTGTTCAATTTTGTTAAAAATTGACAAAAATAATTAAAATATTATATTTATAATTCAATAATTAAATTATATAATATATAGATATATAATTTAAAATATAAATGAAAAGATATAAATTGTCTCCTACTTTAACAAAATCTGTTTTGAAAAAGAATATGGCCGAAATAATTTTTCATTCTGAATATTGTTCACTTGGAAAATTAAACTAAAAATGAAAACCATTTATCCTTGCCAATAAATAATCATTAAGTTGGTCTGTACATCGTTCTCCTATACCCCTTTTTATATGGTTTTTTGGGTCGACCTATACTGTTTTATTGTCAAAACCAAAACTTACTATAGGTCCCATGACAGTTAAACACTGCATTCATGAAAAGTAACCAAAAGAGGCTGAGTACGTGCAAAAGGAGGATCAATGACAAATTTATTCAAGATAGCAGTCATAGATGCAGACATATAATCCTTAACACACAAACCCAGTAATAACCTTCCAAAAAAGGTAAAAACTAGAAGAGTATATTATGTATAACTCTTAACTACAATATAACAGAATGTTGCTGCGACTGATAGCTTGAATTCAGATTTATAGGCTGCTGCTCTGATGCTATTAAATGTAGTCAGCAGGCTGTATATTTAACATGAAAGCTAAATTGCCACTGTTGGTTAGGCCTTAGAAACCATGAATCTTGATATGCTCCTTCTTTACTATGCCAGCCTGTTTGTAACATGATGGAGGAGTTTAGAAACTACAAGACTATTTTACAACAAGAACAACAGCCACATTATAACAAGTCATCGTAATGTTTACCTGCACAAGGAAAGTAGAAACATTCTTTCTTTGATCTCCCTGAAGTTGTATGACCTGCACCCATACAAAATTGATGTTTAGGGCTTTCTTGAAAATCACATAAAATGAGAATGACCATATATGCTGGGAAACAGAGAAAGAAATTCCACCGGATGACAAATACAAAGTCATTTCTTTCTTCTACGATTGCAAAATAAAATAATTACACATAGTACATTACTTATGAAGAACAGAACACAAACCTGGCCCAACTCAGGGTCCTGGACAACAGTACCATTACAGCAGAATTCTTTCTTCAGGTCTTTGAGTATCTTGCTATAGCTGTACTCTTTCTTTAATCCTTGAACAGTTGTTAGGCTTTTCCTTCCATTCCGCTGTTGAACACGAACATGAACATACTCTTTTGCCCCAGCTCCTGAGTCCTCAGCATTTGCCTCAGCAAATGGATCTTCAATTATCAAACCACATCAATAATCATTAATAAATGATAAATAGCCAACAAACTTTTTGATACCAAAAATGTATATGAACTGAGAAATTCAATACAACAATATTGCTCAATTTGCTGGTTCAGAAGTGCAGGTTGGATTTTGGCTTTCAAATATGACAATGTGGCTCTAGTAGGTCTAATGTGTTACACTTTCATATTTGTATTACCTGACAAATATGTGAGACTTACAATGATGTATAGACTTTCTATATACAGGCAAGAGTACCATTGTATTCTTATACATAAATTTTTTTTTCTTTGATAAAAATGTATTTCGATTTATTCTTGTATTGACTCAAATAGGACGATTTCTTAAAATAATACAAATATACAAGGTAGAGAAAAAGCCTAAGCTAGAAGCCATAGTGAGAAACATACACTAGTTCAATATATGAGTCCTTATTGTAAGTTTTAAAATACTACCCACAGATAATATCTCTTGCTTCTTCATAGTAGACAAAATCAAGACTGTGGGTATTGAAACATATGGAACAAGCGATTAAATGCTGAAGCATCCGTCTATGTGCAACTTATGGTCACTGACATACCTTGAATCATCACTAGCAAAATAAAGTGCGGCCTTAGCCACATCACTTGGACTAAATTTTACTGCAACCAGGTATCTTCCGCAATCTCTTTTCCCTCATCTTACTTCTCACAAGGGAAACATCAATCCATCGCTCTGCTGTTGCGTAGATGTCAGACAAGAGCACATAGTTAGCTGCATTTTGAGGCTCTAGATCAAAAAGTCTATTAGCAACAATCTCTCCCAACTCTGAATCACCATATAGTTTACATGCCCCAAGAAGTGCACCCCAGGCACCAGCATGAGGCTCCCCAGGCATTAATTTCATTAGTTCATAAGCCTCCCTTACATTCCCTGACCGGCTTAGAACATCAACCATACACGCATAGTGATCAGGTGAAGGACTAATACAGTATTTTTGCTTCATGGACTGGAAGTAGTTCCAGCCTTCATCAACAAGCCCAGCATGACTACAAGCTGTCAAGATGACCGTGAAGGCCACCTCATCTGGAGTTAGCCCTTCCATCAGCATCCTGTTGAACAGATCCACAGCCTCTTCCCCATGTCCATGAATTGACAACCCTTGTATCATAGAACAATACGAGACAAGATCTCGTTTAGGCATTTCTTCAAACAATTTTAATGCCCTTTCCATGTTTCCACACTTAGCATTCATGTCCAGAAGTGCTGCAATTACATGGTCTTGCGGAAGATCAATAGAGCTCTTGCTTACATAAGAATCAACCCATTGAGCCAACTCTAACTGACCCAACTGAGCCGAAGCAGACATCAAGTTAACTAACACAAACTCATCAGGCCTCACATTCATCGATTCCATCTCAAGAAACACTTTCAACGCCTGATTAGGCTGTCTATTCTGGACATATCCAGACATCAAAGCAGACCAAGCAACAACATCCTTGTTTGTAGCTTGTTCAAACAAAAATCTCGAAGAAACCATGTCACCAGCCTTCGCATACCCATCAATCATGGTGGTAAAAGAAACAACATTCTTCTCAGGCATAGCATCAAACACGCCCCTAGCACTACTCAAATCCCCTACCTTTACAAACCCCTGCATCATTGCATTCCAAGAAGCCACATTTTTCTGTGGCATATCCTCAAACAGCTTATTCGCCTCCAGAACATCTCCAACGTTTACATATCCAACAACCATAGCAGTCCAAGAAACCACATTCCTCGGTGACATTTGATCAAACACCTTGCGAGAATCACCAATCTCTTCACATTTACCATACATATCAATCAAACTGGTGCCCACGAAGATATCCTGTTCTACACCGCACCTAAACGCGGACCCATGAACCGATTTTCCTTCCAAGACCTTGCACCTGCTTGAACAGGATTTGATGACAGAAGGGTAAGTGTAGCGGTCGGGAAGGGCACCCTGCGCCTTCATGCGAACAAAAGCTAAGAGGGTATGGGAAAAGAGACTCTTTTGGCAATGGGCTTTAATGAGGATGTTCCAGAGGAAGGTGGAAGGTTCGAGAACGCGGTGGAATACTGAGTCTGAATAGGGAAGAGAAGAAAGGGAGTGAGAGAGGACAATGAAGTGGGAAATGAGGAAGTGATCTTGCTCGAGGCCTCGGTGGATGATGCAAGCGTGCACTTGCTGAAGATGTTGTCTGCTTTTGCAGGCTTTCAGTAGGGTCGCTATGCTCGCAGCTGAACGACGTGAGGATTCACAAAATGAAGGCATGGAAGTGGAAATCGAAATGAGAGTGAAACCCTGCTCAGGTTATTTTCCTCGGTGATCTTCAATCTAATGATTAATTGCATCAATGGGTTATATGAACACAATAAAAGGGTGGGAGAAGCTCTACTTGGGAAGCACAATGTGAAGTTTTCTCCGTTGGATATGGCAGCAGAAGAATTTAGCTTTTACCCCCAGAAAATGGCGGCCTCTTTTTTCGTAATTTGAATATACAATGAGACGATGAATTGGGGGACACAAGCGCACTCACCTTAAATTTACAATTGATTTGAAAAAATATTAATTTTTCAATTTTAATTAAAAAAATTGAAAGATGGATAAAATTTACTTACTTTTAAAATGAAAGAACTTAATTAGTTAATAGAAACTTGTGACAGTTCAAATTTAAAAAATTAATAATATAATTAAGACTAGGTATTATCAGGATAAATTTAAGCTATGTATGCTTTATTCAAAATTGTCTAAAAAAATATTAGTAGTGGAACTTGTACTACTTAAACTTTTTGAATGAAAACATCTCACACAGGGTCTAAGAGAGTGATTTTAGGTGTATTCAGTAATTCAAGTTTATAAACTATTTAAGACTTTGTAATTTTTTTAATAAGTTTGAAAAATAAAAAGTTTTTTAAAAGATAATTTAGTTCATAAAATGTTACTCTAAGTAGCATCTTATTAAAAGTTAGTTTTTAATAATTTTTTATTTTTACTTTTAACCTTTTAAATAATTTACATTAATATTAAATAACTTTAACACTTTTTTTAATCATTAACTTAACACACTTCATCTTGTTATACAAATAATTTTAACAAAAAATATTTCAATCATTTAGTTATAAATTATAAATTTACATCTATAAACTTTTAATTAACTTGTCAATCAAAAGCTACCAATTATACATTTTCAGCTAATTTAATAAAACAAAATATTGGTGCTGTGGTGAAATATTATTTTGTGGAGTTAATCTGTTAATGGTAGTTGAATGGAGGAATTAATGAGGTCTAAATGCGGTTAATGAATTTATAGACATAATTAAATTGAGAACGATGGTATTTAAACTTATTGTTTTTATCATTCTTCTGTTTATTGTGTTCATCAAACATTAATACGGGATATTCATTCTGTCCATCACCAGAAATGTAAGCAACTAATTATTTGAATAATAAAAAATCTTAATAAAATAGTTAACTGCATTGTAAAAAAAATTATATGTAATAATTTTAATTTTAAGTTACTGAATTTAATACATTAAAACTATTAAATATTACAGTTAAAAGTTTATTATATGTAACTTTTTTATCTTGTACAATATTATACAGGTGAAAAATTATTTATTAAATTAAGCAGCTGTTTAAGTTTAGAAAATAATTTTTGTTCTCTTAATGATAAAAATATTATTTAATTTGTAAAAGAAAATATTTAAAACATTGTTTATAAAAATTAGAAAATGTTAAAAATAAAAATTATCAATTGTGTTTCATTGATTAATTAATTTCATTCACATGTTATAAAAATATTTTAATTATATTCTTATAAATGTTCAATTTTGATAAAAATTAACACAAATAATTAAAATAATATATTTATAATTCAATAATTAAATCATAAATATTATATATAGATATATATAATTTAAATAAATGAAAAGATATACGTTGTCTTGTACTGTCACAAACTCGTTTTGCAAAAGAATATGGTCGAAATAAACTTTCATTCTGAATATTATTCAGTTGGAAAATTAAACTAAAAATGAAAACTATTTATCGTTGTGAATAAATATTCATTTAAGTTGGTCTCTATCTCGTTCTCCTATACTTATTTTATTATATCGTTTATTGGGTGGACCTATACTGTTTTAATTTTTATTAGTTTGGTCAAAACCTAAACTTGTTATAGTTCCCAGAACAGTTAAACACTTGGCATTCATGAGTCCAAAACAAAAAGTAACCAAATGAGGCTGAGTACGAGCAAAAGGAGGATCAATGACAAATTTATTCAAGATAGCAGTCATAGATGCAGACATATAATCCTTAACACACAAACCCAGTAATAACCATCCAAAAAAGGCAAAAACTAGAAGAGCATATTATGTATAACTCTTAACTACAATATAACAGAATGTTGCTGCGACTGATAGCTTGAATTCAGATTTATAGGCTGCTGCTCTGATGCTATTAAATGTAGTCAGCAGGCTGTATATTTAACATGAAAGCTAAATTGCCACTGTTGGTTAGGCCTTAGAAACCATGAATCTTGATATGCTCCTTCTTTACTATGCCAGCCTGTTTGTAACATGATGGAGGAGTTTAGAAACTACAAGACTATTTTACAACAAGAACAACAGCCACATTATAACAAGTCATCGTAATGTTTACCTGCACAAGGAAAGTAGAAACATTCTTTCTTTGATCTCCCTGAAGTTGTATGACCTGCACCCATACAAAATTGATGTTTAGGGCTTTCTTGAAAATCACATAAAATGAGAATGACCATATATGCTGGGGAACAGAGAAAGAAATTCCACCGGATTACAAATACAAAGCTATTTTTTTCTTCTACGATTGCAAAATAAAATAATTACACAGTACATTACTTATGAAGAACAGAACACAAACCTGGCCCAACTCAGGGTCCTGGACAACAGTACCATTACAGCAGAATTCTTTCTTCAGGTCTTTGAGTATCTTGCTATAGCTGTACTCTTTCTTTAATCCTTGAACAGTTGTTAGGCTTTTCCTTCCATTCCGCTGTTGAACACGAACATGAACATACTCTTTTGCCCCAGCTCCTGAGTCCTCAGCATTTGCCTCAGCAAAGGGATCTTCAATTATCAAATCACATCAATAATCAATGATAAATAGCCGACAACCCTTTTGATACCAAAATTATATATATGAACTGAGAAATTCAACACCCACCAAAAGTAGTTGGGATGTTTGTGTCGAATTCAGACATGAAACTCGCCCTTGGTAACTTGTAACAAATAAAGTCTTTCTGATGTGATCAACTGCCGCCAAGCACTAAAGGAGAAGAAAAATACTGAGTCAGAGATGAGATGCACCAAATGGTATTTCAGAAGATGCTGTTGCTTTCTATATCATACTCCCTAAATGAATTGTAACAGAATAAAGAGCAACTGTACCACATAAGTTTTATTGTACAGAGGCATACATTTTAAAATAACTGCACAATGTGGAGTTCTTCATACCAGCCATTCACATTTATTACACCATGTTTACCATCTATAGCCAGATATGAAATAAAATATTTTAAAAGGTCAAGATTTTCTGCAGTTATGATAAAAGAACAGAGGACCATAAATCATTATTCCCCATAATGACACGTCCCTTATATCAGTAAAAAATGACAGATCAATAATATGATGCCAAAGAAGAAACCCACATTACCCTCACAAACGTCAGGGCCCAACTCTTCTAAAAGCTTATGTTATAAGATGAAGACTTGTGAATGATTTTATATCTCCAACAGCAGCAATCATGCAAGGCCTCAGTTATATTCTTTCCAACCATTTGCTCCTTATCTAGACTCCTCACAACTAGATTCAATGCTTATACGTAGATGCAAAGTTTGATTGCAACAACTACCTTTAAACAGCACCTTTGACTCCTCAAATTTACATGGTCTCGTATGTACAAACTGATGTATGCCAAAATGCAAATTTCAATTTACACCGTTATCAATAGTTCAACAATCAATCTATGTTAAAAGTGTATGCAGCAGGATGTTTTATTTTCCAGCAATCTCGTTATTCAGTAGATGACATTATTGTAGTTCAATGCCATGTTCATTATGGTAATCATTGTAGTTAGTCTGTGGTAAGATTCACAAGTAGTGACAAGGCAAACATTGTTCATGTGATCTGTTATATGCTCTCAGGCAGTCATTAGGTGTTGTTTTGCTACTGTCACGTGGCTTCAAGTATGAAATTATGCAAGGATAATAATATTGCTCAATTTGCTGGTTCAGAAGTGCAGGTTGGATTTTGTCTTCCAAATATGATAAATAATGTGGCTGTAGTAGGTCTAATGTGTTACACTTTCACTTTTGTTTTACCTGACAAATGTGTGAGACCATTGTATTCTTATACATAAACTGTTGCATGTACAAACTGTTGTATCCCACAATGCAAATTTCAACTTCTACCATTATCAATAGTTCAACAATCAATAAAAGAAACACAAGCCAGGAAGAAGAAAATTGTGTCATTAGTCATTACTCATTTGCATTATTCACGTGCACTATTTTAGCTTATCCCTTTTCATGACATCAGAACAAAGCCACCTATTGTGTTCCCACAGCCGAACATTGATTAGTCTCATGAATGAATGCCCTCGGAATACATAGACATACAAACATGCTTGTACATACCACACACACACAAAAAAAAAAAAAAAACAAATAAACAAACAAACCAGACACTCTCCTTATATATTCAGTATATACGAAGATACCAAAGAATGTGCATAACCCGATTCCCTCACAAGTTACTACAACACTGTTGTTTGAACGCACTCGATCAAGAAAAATCCATTACTTTACACTCAAATGGGATCGTATATCTATTTGAGACTACAAGTCTACAAGGATTCCATGAAACTAAAGGTTAACCTAACCTGCTACCTGCTCCTGACCCAGAAAAAAGAAAAATCACAGAAACAAGGTAACAGTGACTGAACTTACAAGCCAAACAAATTGACCACAAAAAAGACATGATTCACCAGCCATTTCCTTCACCTAAACTTCAAAGGAACAAAGATAATAAAGCCCCATATCAAGATTGCATGACCATAAAATAAAGGCAAATATTGAGCCCCAAATTAAAAAGGAAAAAAGATTCATAAAAATTTATTCAAATGTGAAACAGATATTATGATCATGCAAAATGAAGATACAAGAGAACAATCTTCAAATCCCCAAGTGCACCGTTATCTTAACATTACAAAGAACCAATTAAGTACACATACAACACGAAAATTAATAACAAGGTATGAAAGAAAGTCCTCATTCACAAAAGGCAAAGGGCTAAAAAGCCACAAACTTGGTTACGTATATCTTGTTATGAATGCAAGGAAACCCCGCAAATCAAAGACCAAATAAAACAGCATATGACACAGAGCACTCAAAACAAGATATTAAGAAAAGAAGAAGAAATACACAGAAGCAAAGAGGATCGTGAACGCACCTAACAGTTACGAAAGACGAAGAAAGTAAAATGGATGAATGAAGGAATTAACGATATACGTGAGAAAAATTGGAGCCTAAACTGGGTCAGGTTTATATATAGGGCGGTTTAGATACGAGAGAAGTTCTCTCTACCACGCAAAGGAGCCAGCGGTTCCCATTTTTATACTTTTTAAATTATAATATTTTTATTTTATGTTATATAAGATATAGTAATAAATAATCTCCGTAGTTTTAAATTTTCAAAAAGTATTTAGTGGCATACAAAGGCTTGCATCTTGGAATAGGATTTATGGATAATCTATATGTGTAAAGATACCGTGTTTAGATGAGATTATTGTAGTTGTATTCGTAACATTAATTTATAATTTATTTAAGAGTTTATATATTTTTAAAAAAATTTAAGTTTGTAGAATATCTTTAAAATTTAAAAAAAACTTAATTTTTGAAAATAAAATAAAATAGAATTTAAATTATAATTATTAATAATTTTCTCTCGAGTATATTATTTAAAAAATAAATTATACATAATATAATTCTTAATCTTTTCTTTTCGTCTGATTTTAGTTTTTTTAATTATTTAATATATGTTAACTAATCTTACTAAACAATTATAATTCAATCAATTGCTTGTAAACTTATGAGTTTTCCGTTAATTTTTTTTTTCGCTATATAAGTTTTTAGTTAATTTTATCAAAAGAAATTTTGTTTGTTACATAAAAAAGGTTGAAAAATAATATTTATTTTTGTTTTTCATAAATAATTGACTTAGAATCTTTGATTATTTTTCTACTTGTAAGTTATAATTGTTACAAGTTCAAGAGAATTATGTATATAAAACAATTTGAATACAGAAGCTCAAACTAAATAAATTGATTTTATATGTATAATATAAATACAAAAAAAAAAAATCTTATTTCACATTAACCCATAATATTACATTTGCACATATACGGTGAGGTAAGGTAAAAATTGAGCAATCATCAATTCTAATTTTCTGTCAATGTAAAAGTGAGATGATAATAATCATAATTAATATATTACATTTATGTTAATATGGTTTATATATTTAATTTTGAATAAATATTAATTTTAAATATATTTATTTAAAATATAAAATTTTTCTTCCTCTTCTCTTCTCTCTAAAAACTTCTTTTTCAAACACTTTTTAGTCCTTATAAAAACACATTTTGAACTTTATAATAAGGCTTTGCCTATTTCAAATTTTTTTTTAACATTTTGGATGATTAAGTAATGAGCAAAAAATAAAAAATATAAATACAAATGACAATAAAATGTATTTAATTGTTTTCGTTTAGATCGTGTACTTTTTAATATTATTGTTTTTGGATTAATAAAGAGTTAAAGAAATTGAAGAATCTAACAGACTAAAAAATAAATAATAAATATAAAATAAATTAAAAACTATGCTAGGATTTTATAAAATAAATTAAATGATTTTAAAAATAAAAAAGTGAGATTAAATCAAGTGACATAAAAATGAAGGATAATTGTTATAATAGACTACATTCAAGTGAGTTTGCATTTTAAAACTTCTTTTATTCCTTTTTTTTTTAAGTCACACAATTAATTTCAAGAGTTGTTAGAAGAATTTCAAATCTGTTGCTACTAATGTCATATCATACAACTTGTCATGGTAGAATTATATATATATATATATATATATATATATATATATATATATATTATTAATTCTTTTGGACTTTTGATTATTGTTATGAAACTAATTGCATAAAATTATTCACTGTTTCTAATTAAGAGAGATTATTCAAATAAAAAAAATATAAAATAATAGAAGTAAAATAAATATAAAATTAAAATTAAAAAATATGTTAAGATTTCATAAAAATGAATTAAATAATTTTAAAAACTAAAAAACAAAGTTCAATTAAATTAAATCAAACGATGTACAAGTTAAATGAAAGAGTGCAGAATAAAATTATATTTTTACAGGTGTCAATCTTGAATGTCAATGAATATTTCTCCTTTGAGTTTTTTAAAGTGATTTCTCAAACTGGTTATTTTGTTATTAATTGAAACAGAAAATTTACATTTCTTTGGTTTATATATGTTAAGGTTGTAATTTGTAACTCATGAACCAGTGATTTGACCATATTGGCATGATGAAGGGGTGAACTGAGACAGGTTTTTTAGCAATTTATTTTCAATGCTAAAAGGGAAACATTATTTGCAAGTTTTCAACTTAAAGCATATTATTGGTTTTTGTCTTGTGGCTAAATCACGTCAAACTTGATTCAAACTCAAGGAATACTTTACTGAATCATAATAATAATAATAATAATAATAAAAAAAAAAATATTAAAACGAGTGTCAAAAGTGTATTATTAATATACAATTTTTTTAAAATAAATAGAAACTTTTCTTCAAAAAAATTATATCATACTTTTCCTCTCTTTTTTTCAAAATTTATCAAAAGCAAAGGATAGGTTAATAAACTCATGATTTCTAACATTGTGATTTAACGGGGAGCCATCTAATTCGGATCAAAGAAAGTTAAGATCCTTTTTCACAGCATTAAACATGAAAAAAAAAAGTAAAAGAAAATTTCAAAGCAACAAACACTTTAAGTTTAATTTTAATTTATAATTAACATAAATTAAATTTCCAAATAAAAAGCAGTGAGATTTGTTTCTCAATTAACATCTGCTCAAATTTGAAGATTTGGATATCGTGTTAACATTAAAAAACTAATAATACATAAAATGGACAATTTTGGCACCGCAACGCATTGAACTCGCACAAACTAACTACCGAAAACGCAGCACACATGAATAACTTGAGCATTTTGTGTGTAACTCCGACCCAAACTCTCCTATTCTCCTATTCCCCATTACCCATTTGTTCTTTAAGTTGAGTAAACATGGCAGAAAGGGGCACTGGTAATCGTTATTGGTGTATAGGGCCATGAAGGTGGTGGTGGAGAACTTGACAGGAACACTTTTCCACGTGCAAGTGGAAAATGATGCCACGGTTGAAGATCTAAAAAGGGAAATTGAGGTCCAACAGAAGCTCCCCTATGAGCGTTTGATCCTTGTACTTGACGCCGATCGTAGTCCTATGATGAGCAAAGAAGAAGAAAAGGCATCTCTGATTGATTGTGGAGTCCAAGATGGGTCCCACCTTTACCTTTTCTTCAATCCTATTGAAGATGAGTCTATGGATCATTTTATGTTTACTTGGCCAGAATTTCTTCTTGGTTAGAATCTTTTGTTTCTAAAGTTAAGTTCCATGATCTCTAATTTGTACGTTCGTATTAAAGATGTGTATGCTGGTTATTTATTAAAGAGTGCATTACAATTCTACGATTTTTTTAATTGTAATGTATTCATGTATGAGTTTCTTTTGTATAAAACACTAATTTTTATTTTGTGTCAGCTTGTACAATAATTGAATGTAAGAGCTTGAGATTTCCTCGAAGTTACTATTTGAATATCTGATTTCGAGTTTGTTTGTGTTAGCATATATTTGGAATTGGCAATGAATTGAAGAATTCCATTGCATTGGATGCAGTAGAATGTCTATCCGTTCTTTTCATTAAAACATGTTTATGATTTTTTAATAAAATAAGTTAAAACATTTGAATGATTTTGATACAATCCAGTGATTCACTGGGTCTCGACCCTTTTGAAATCACATTTATATCTAGAATCCTCGTTGAATAAATGGATTGCATTATTATTGTTACACTAGTTTGTTTTAGTTTTAACTCTTAAGTTCAAGTTCAAATACTAAATTTTATTAGAGTAAGTAGCATAGTGGTGTAGCATGCCTTGGCGTGAGGGTGAAAACACAAAACAGTCTCCATTTTCATTATCCAACAGGGAATGACAGTGATAACTGTGTGTAGGCTTGTTTCTGCTACAGTAAATTATTAATAATTTTATTAGATTGTTGTGATCTACTTTGAAATTTCGCATAATATCAATCATTAGTGCTATTAGAACTTCCCAAGCAAGCAAAATTTCGTAATAACTAGACATTCTTCTCTGACATCTACCTCACTCTAATATTTTATTCCCTTAAACCCATTATTGATCTTAAATCCATTAATTTACATTTTAGGATGAAATTAACATATAACTTGTTTGTTTTTTTTTTTGCTTTACAGAGGCAGTGAATATAGGTTGATTTCAAAGTAACATTTAAAATTTTGTTTTAAATTTTAATTAAGAATAAAATTTTAATTTTTATATACAGTCAATGTAAAAGTTTTTATATTGTCAACAAATTAAAATACATTATTAATATAATTTTATATTAATTAATATACAAATGATATTTTTTATTATTATGAAAATTTACAATTAAATGATAATCTTGTAATTAATCTTTACACTATCATTATACCGTAAATATATTTAAATTAAAATTTAAAAAATATATAAATTAATAAAATCTTCTTTCGAAGGAAACATAAAATAATGAGACCACTTTTCTTTCCTTTTGTCTATCATATTAAAAAAACTATTTTCATTTATATGTCATTTTAAAAAGTTTATGACACTATTAATATATATATATATTTTATTTATACCCTTAAAATAAATAATAATTATTAATAAAAAAAAGACAGAAGGGGCATAAAAATAATTAACATCTTTCATAAAAATAAAAATATTATTTTTAATTTTTTGTTTGATATCTTACCTGTGTCATATAAAAATAAATAGAAAGAGTACATTTAAGATCCACCATGAAACGATGTGAAGGGACTTTGTGTCGTTATCTATGTAACTTGTTCATGTTGGTCTTTTAATATAATAAGCATGTGTAATCATTAAAAATACTAAAATGGACCAATTCAAATAACAAAGGAGGGGCCAATGTTTCCTCTATACCTAAAAAAGTCTCTCTATTGGAATAAAAAGCTTTTCATTTTTTTAGTAACAAATGGAGGCTTTTTTATTCTGCCCTAATTTTTTTCCTTCAGAGTATTATTGTGTCGAGATGTGCTATTTTTATAAATTTAAAATTTTATAGGAGGCTTTTGTTTGTTCTTATTTTTCATTTTAGTGTATAT